ACGTTTCTAACAAAATTCCAAAGCATAGCAGGATACAGTGTTAAAACACAAGAATCAAAGCATCCCTGTAGACCAATAATGTACTCATAGAGAAAGAAAGAGGAAAATAATACTGTTCACAATAGCATGAAGAAAAATTGCATATATAGGAATTAACCTTACCAAGGAATCCAAATACTTTTGTAATGAAATCTATAGTATTCTGAAAAAAGGAGACTGAAGAAGACATAAGAAAATGAAAAAGTATCTTCTACTCCTGGATAGGTAGAACACATACTGTCAAAATGGCCACATTTGCAAAACTTATATACATGTTTAATACAATCTTAATCAAAATATCAATATTAATCCTAAGATCTATAGAAAACAATCATAAAATTTATATGGTACGAGAAGTGATCTAGAATAACGAAAGCAATCTTAAGTAACAAGAGCAAAGCAGTGGACTTCACAATCCTGGACTTTAAGAAATACTACAGGGGCTGGGGATTTAGCTCAGGTTCGGTGGCCTGCCTTGCAAGCGAAAGGACCCGAGTTCAATCCCCGGTACAAAAAAATAAATACATACATACATACATACATACATACATACATACATACATACATACTACAAAGCTACAGTGATTAAAAAGCAAAAAACAGACATGTTTTTGAAATAAAAACAAACATGTGGATCAATGAAACAAAATAAAGGATGCAGAAGCAATACCAGCTATCTGATGTTTGACAAAGGGACCAAAAACCTATGCTAGAGAAAAGATAGCCTCTTTAGCAAGTGGTGCTGTAAAACTAGCCATCCACACGAACAAAAAAGACTGAAGCTAGAAGCATCATGTATTAAACTAACATGAAAATGGATCAAACATCTAAATTTTAAAACATAATCACTTAATGTGTTGGATAAAACAAGTAAAACTTTTGAACACATAGACATAGGGAAAGATTTCTTGAATAGAATCCCAGTTGCACATGAAATAGCACCGAGTCAACAGGTAGGATTATATCAAATTAAAATGTTTCTACAAAGCAATAAAAGGTACAGGATCCCAGTAATGAATGTAACTGTATTGTATACCTAAATTGTACCAATAAACTCAATAAAAAGAAAAAAAAAAGAAGCAACCAACAGAGTGAAGAGACAAACTACAGAATGGGAAAAAAATTACCAGCTATTCCTGGAATGGACAACTACTATGTAGAATATACAGAGAACTTAAAAAAAAAGACCTTTCAAAATAAATGACTCAATCCAAAATGGACAGCTGAAATGAATAGACACTTCTCAGAAGAAACACAAAACAAATAACTACATGAAAAAATGTTCAACATCTTTGACCACTAGAAAAAGGAGAATTATAACAATGCTGAAATTCCACCTTTCTCCAGAAAGAATGGCCATCTACAAGAAATTAAATAATAGCAAATGCTTTCTGAGGCTTTGGGGAAAGAATTCTTCTACATTATAGGTGGCAAATTAATATAACCATTATGGAAATCAGTATGAAGATTCCTCAAAAAATTAAAACTAGAAATTCCAATTAACCCAGCTATTCCCTTTCTAGGTATCTTCCTGAAAGAGTTAAAGATATCATATTATAGTGGTACATGAATATCAGTCTTTTATAACAGCACAACTCATAATAGCTAAATCTTGGAAGCAGCCTGTATGTCCATCAGCAGGCAAATGGTTAAACAAACAAACGTTTGCAGGGCCAGGAATATAGCGCAGTGTTGCTGAGCCTGCCTGGGAAGCACAAGGTCCTGAGTTGCTGAGTTTGATTCCAGGTACCCGTACCTAAAAAAAAAAAAAAAAAAAAATACACAATGCAATCCTACTGTTCCATAAAGAGGAATAAATGAGTTATTTGTAGAAAAATGGACGCATTTTGTTACCATAAAATAAAGTGAAGTAAACCAGACATGGGTCTAAATAGCACATGATTTCTCTTATATGAGAAAATCGAAGTATAAATAAAGAACAAAAAATATAATAGGTTAGAAAGAAGATATTTTTTGCAAGTGAAGAGACCGGGGCTGGGGATTTAGCTCAATGGTGCAGTACCTGCCTTGCAAGCAGGTACTGAGTTCGACCCCTGGTACTGAAAAAAAAAAAAAAAGTAAAGGAACCAAGAAATAGAGAGAGGAAGGGGATTACTAAAAGAATTAGGATTTGTTATATATATGAAGCAACTCACACAAGGATTGTAATCAGTATATATTGCAACCTATACTAATAAAAAACAGTGGGATTTCGATGACTGTCCTGTAGGAAACATCATCCAATTTCTTTAAATATACTTTTTGTACAACTGAAAGCAGCTATAAATATTATATGTTATTTCACATCTGAAATAGCAATTTATTTGTGTCTGGATGTAGAGATAATGGTAAAAACCACAATATACCTAAGGTATAATATACACATTGAAAATGAAAAATCAACTAAAAGTATTATTTGTGCTTTAAATCATGTTTAAACTTTGCAGCTATATATTTGATGTAACTATTCATTCATATGAATAGGTTTCCAATAACTAAAAGATATCAGGGTCAACTTCAAGAAATAATAATAACATTAAGCTAGGAGAAATGAAGTATATAAATGTTGACATTACACTTTTTGCATTTTATTTCATTTTCATAGTTTTTTGTTTATTTGTTAGTATTTTTACAAAAGCACTGTATTATGTTAATTTAATGATGGGGTAACCCAACTTAAACTAGAAGGGGCACAGTATTATCAAGGTAAAATATTTAATACAAGTGTGAACTTTTTTTAAAAGTACAGAAATGATAAATTAATTTGTCTTATTCTATCTTTAGAAATACTAATTACCTTAGCTTTTCTACCTGGAAAATTTTATCGGCTGAAGAGCTGAACATGTGAGAGCCAAAAGTTCTATTACAGAGTTCGAGGAGACACTTTATAATAGATAATATGACCTATTTGTAGATACAAAAAATTGCTCATAATATGGTTCCATCTTGTCATCCCTAAAATTGAGTGTGGTCTGGCTCACTCTTGGCCAATAATGTTGACACAATACTTTCCCACTCACTCAAAGAATTGGGCTGTTGACTGAAATTATTCAGCAATAGTCATTTGTATAAGTCCATTAATTTATTAAAAGTCTTTTAATTCATATAAGAGACAAAAGTCCCATATTTTTGGATTATTTAGTTTAGGGAGAGCTTTAATGAAGAAATAAGTGTATAAGCAAATCTGTGAATGTCCTAGGAGGAAATAAATAGGGTTAAGTAGAATTCCAAAAGATGTACATCAAAGTGGTAGGTTTTTTGGCTTCCCAGAAACTAGGTATGAATTGAAATTTTGGAGATGAAAACAGCTGGGAATAGCATTTGAGGCAGAGGAGAAAACAAATGAAGAGACTAAGGAATAGGAAATGTTTACTATGAATAATGAATGGTAAGAAGGGCAATCTTCTCTGATGTAATGAGTAAAGGACAAAATAAGGTTGGAAAATTTGATTGCGTTCTGATCACATATGTTCTTGATGCTATAAGTTGGTCATTGATGCTAGAAACAATAAGAATCTACTGAAAAATATTTGGAGAACTATTTAGGAAAAACTTGTATACATGATTCATAAAATTCTGTAGCTTTGGGGTGATAATCTGATATAAGTTATCAAATCTGTTTTGTGCATATATGTGGTTATTTATTTACTTCTACCATTCCCTGTTCCAAATGTATTTGGGATGGTTCTCTGGAAGAGAACAAATTAACAAACAAACAAACTAAATAAATAAATAAATCCTTTTTTTGAAGTTTTGTTTATCCTGGAAGATAGAGTAAAAGTGGAAATTTAGTTCCTGAAATACTGCAATGAGAGGAAAATAGTTTATTTTCAAAGATAAGAGAATTAGAGGTATAGTTTTAGGGTTCATATTTTGAAAGTTTCAACTATAACTTGATAAAGCAGTCATGTTGGCTAAGCTATATTGCATAGTATTTCATTGTTTTTATATAAGATACTTATTTTACCAGTACTCTATTGATATAGAATTTTAAAAATTTTATTTCCACTTTTTTCATAGCATAAACAATGCAGTAATAAAAATCCTTATGCTCATCAATTCTTGAAACCTTACGAGCATATCTCTAGAGCAATTACCAAGAGTGGAATTGCTGGTTTATTTTGTGTTGTGTTCAAATTTTTGAAGACATTGTCCAGTTTCCAAAATGGTTGAATATATTTACAGGCTTATCTATAGAAGTAAAGTTTAAAAAGTTATTCTTTGTGACACTTAAGATACATGGTTTTTAATTTTGTTTTCCAATCCTGAATTATTGCAACCACAGTTATATGTTTGAGTCATTTCCACCCAGGCAGGAACACAAACAGAAAACTGTTTTCAACTGCAGGCACTTTTCTTACTCTCCACTGTGCATTATAGGCAAATGCTTTGAAAGTGTATCCTAATTAACGTTCTTCCTTGAATCAGTTGCCATTTAATCATGGTACTCTGCAAGGTGTATGGTCTTTAGAAATACTAACTTAATTTTAAAAAGTTTCAATTTGTAGTTGTTCAGAGACCATATAATCTTTCTCTATGAAGCAAGAGTTGAAAAGACTTTCTCACAGTGCTAATTGTGACAGAAATATCTCAAATGGAATATTTATTATTGTAAAATTTAAATTCATTTGCCACAATTACTCTAGTAAGAATGTGTGCTGGTTACAGAAAATTTCCAGCATCTGTTCTACACAAATCACTGGTTTATATAGAATAGAGATCAGATAAAATGCTCTGCAAAATAATTACCTCACAGCGACATCATGATAATATAAATTATCTGCAAATTTTTCCTCAATGTAACTCACAGTCTTCTACATTATTTGAGAATTAAATGTTCCAGTTCTTTTGCTTCAACCTAACAGTCTGCTTACATTTGACTTTAGATAGTGATTTGCTATATTTGTTCTCTTTGTTTGTTTTCCTATAGAAGCTTCTAAAATCTCTTTTTCATATTCAAGGTCTAATGTTACATTGAAAATAGAGAGCATAAAAGATGGAATCTGGAAGTTTCCCTTGATCTTGATGGCTACTGATCCTGAAGTGGAAGAAATCATTAACATAAGAGGAGTTGGTTTACAAAAGGAATCTACTATGAACTTCAGGCTGGCAAGTCCAACAAAGTAATATATCAAACAAAATATAAATAGCTTTATAAATATAATTTATGCTGAATTTGAACAACATTTAAGATAGAAAACTCTGCAGGTCATCTTTGTTAGTTAAGTTAAAATGGTACTGCTTCTATGACTCAGTTTTATAGACTTCATAAATTTTTATTTAAAAACTGAAAAAGAAAGTGTACAAAATCAGGACCAAAAAAAAGAAGCAAAAGCAAGTAAGTAGATATTGAAATTTAAAATAATATTGTTATTTGCCTTACAAAGAATGTTTCACCGTATTTTTTCAGAGATACATGGATCATTTTCTATCTAAATTTTAATGGTGTTGGGTTGTTGAATTGTTTACCTATGTGGAGATGATCGGGTAACCTATACTGATTTGTTCTGCAATCAACTCTTGTTCCCATCTCTTCTCATAAAATCACTGATTTATTTTCTATCTCTACAGCTTTGCCTTTTCTGGATATTTCATAGAAGTGAAATCACATAATGTGGTATCATTTACACATCCTTCTCTAAAGTTCAACAGTTTTGCTGAAAAATCACTTCTGAGTCTATTGTATGCCTTTGGTCTATTTCTGGAATCCTAAAATGGTCCATTTTTAACATCTGTCCAGTTTTGTAGGTGCTTTGGGGAGAGTAGATTTGCTTGCTTCATCTGGTCGATTGGAAGATAATTCTGTAATACTTTAAATACACTACAGTTGCATGTAAATACTCCCTGAGATTGTATGTTTAAAGTACTAAGATCTAATTATAAGTACTTTAATATTCTTAGCTACAGAATTTTTTTAGGTCAGATCATTCTTAATAAGGGTTAAGACTGTCTATGAAAAACACAGATCTAAGCTTTGAGAGTAGACAATGAAGGGTTTCATGTTATTGGGTCATAGTGATTCTACATTTAATCTGCACAAAACCTGAGAAGTAGGAATATGTGAGGGAAATGCTTAACTAACTGGTTCTCTTCATTCTAAAACTGATAATTTCTTTCTGATTCTTGATGGCTAAGGCTCTGCATTATATTTATCACAAAAATTACCTTTCCAAAGGTACTGGGTATGCATGTATACATTTTGCGAAAAATGAATGATGAATAGTTACATGTATAATCATGTGTTCTATTTGGAGTCAAATAGAACTTTGTAGGTAGGGTGACTATAGAATTCACTGTTTTGATCTGGATTTTTTGAGAATGAAAGAAGACTCAATTAAAAATTAGGCTTGCCGGGGGTTTGTCTCAGTGGTTCTTGCACCTGCCTTGAAAGCGCAAGGGCTTGAGTTCTATCTCCAGTACCAAAATAAATAAATAAATAAATAAATAAATAAATAAATAAATAAATAAATAAATAAATAAATAAATAAATAAATAAAAAATTAGGCTAAGCCGATGCATGTCTAAACAAAGCTGGTCCTTACTGTTCCTTGTAAGCCAAACAACATATTTGTGGTTTATGTAAACAGGAAACTCAAGTCACCATATCATTTTTCATGTACTTACCATAGGTAACTGCTCTTTGGTAGGCATCTGTTTAGTTCTTTTTAGTATTTTGTAATTGGATGTGTTTAATTTTTCTGTTCAGTTTTGAAAATTATTTGTACATTCTCAACATCAAACTGTTAACAGGATTTGTATGGCACTAGAGTTTGCAACCCATTTTTTTCTTTTTTTTTTTTTTTTTTTTTTTTTGGTACCAGGGATCAAACTCGGGTTCTTGAGCTTGCAAGGCAGGCTGCGGAACCACTGAGCTAAATCCCCAGCCCCAGAATTTGTAATCTTGATAAAGTTACCTTTATCATTTTTTTCTTTATTCTTCTCTTGTCCTGTCCAAACACTCTTCATCTAGAATTGAATCTCAAATATGTTCTTCATGTTTGCTTTAAAATTTGTAGTTTTACATTTCAAATGTAAAAAAATGATATATTTTACTATATACTAAGTGTGGTGTGGTTTAGGTCAAGGTTTAATTTTTTCTTTAATTTTTAGTTTTTATTGGTACATGTTTCCAATGCATAAAGAATACAGTCCTTATGTGGAATAGTAGAATTAAATTTTTTTTCAAGCTCTTTTCCCTTTCATCTCTTAATTCCCTTCACATTTTGGAAAGATCTATGTCCTTACTGATTATTTTTTATTTTGCCCTTTGCATATGTGTTAAGTTTTTCATATAAGAGAAACTATGTGATATTTAATCTTGTTTCCAGTTTATTTCATTAAATACAGTTTCAAGAGCTCTGTGTAAACAAAGATACAAAATTTGCAGATTTAATATTTTCACTATAAATATCCAGCAGCATTTGTTAAAAAGACTATATTTCTATTAAGGTGATTTTGCTACTTTGTCAGATATCAAGCAGATACATTTATGTGGTTCCATTTTTTCACTTTGTATTCTGTTCCATTTATCCTCAGCTTATAGTCAGGTACAATGATTTCCCTCACTTGATTATTCTGTTGAAAATTGTTTTAGCTATTCTAGTTCAGTAAGCTTTCCACATTCATTTTAAAATAAGGTCGTTTAGTTCTACAAATTGTCTAGTTTTATTTTGAAAGGAATGTGTTAAAACCATAGATCAGTTGCTGATATTTGTAATCTGTACTGCTTTTACTATACTATATTAATTCATGATATTTATTACACTAAGATGCATCTATTTATTTAGATCTTACTTGATTTCTTTGTTTTTCTCATTGAGTTTATTGGTATTTTTTAATATGCAGTACACTTGCAGTTATCATTGGGATTTTGTACCTTTACCTGACAAATCTTGGTTCTCATTTTTTCCCCATACCCCTGTCCTCCCTTAACCCCCCCTCCTACTTCCCTATTTACAGAGACTTTGCTTCCATTTTTTCCTTTTCTCATATTTTTATTTTCCCTCATTTCCTTTCCCTTACCTTTCCCACTTACCCTACAACTTTAGCCCCTTTTTTCCTATTTCACATTACCAACTATACCACTAGGATCTTATCTACACTTTTAGTTTTTTACACCAGAGAAACTATTTGGTAATCACACATGTATCTTATTCATTTCACTTAAGAGTATGGCCTCAGTACTCATCCATTTTCTTATGAATGACTCTAGTTTATCACTATTTCTGGCTGAGCAGCACTACATTTTATAGAAAAAAAAAAAACACATCTTATTTATCCAGTCTCCAACTGATGGGTAATTGGGCTGTTTCCAAGTTTTAGCTATTATAAAATGTGCTGCTATAAACATGGATATGCATATATCATTGTGGTATGATTCTTTTAATTCTTTTGGAAAGGTACCCAGCAGAAGGATAGGTAGGTCAAATGGAACCTCTAGTCCTAGTTTTTTCAGTTATCTCCATACTGATTTCCACAGTGGTTGCACCAGTCTGCACTCCCACCAACAATCAAGAAGGGCTCCTTTCTCCCCACACCCCTGCCAACATTTTTTATTGTTTGATTTCTTGATAGCAGCTATTCTTTGTGCGGTGAGGTGGAATCTCAGTGTTGTTTGCATCTGCATCTCTCGAATGACCAGTGATGTGGAACATTTTTTCATATATTTACTCTCTGCTTTTACTTCTTTGTTGAGAAATGTCTGTTCATTTCAGATGCCCATTTTTGAATCAGGTCTTTATATTATTTGGGGAGGTCTGATTTTTTTGAGTTGTTTGTATGTTCTAGATAATAGTCCTTTGTCTGAGGAGAAGCTGGTAAATTTTTTTCCCACATTGTAGGTTGTCTTTTAGTTCTGTGGATGGTTTCTTTTGCAGTACAGAACATTTTTAATAAGATAAGATCCCAGTTATTGATTCTTTCTGCTAGTTCCCATATTACAGAGGATTTTTTCATAAAGTCTTTTCCTATGCCAATGTTTTCAAGATTTCTGCCTAATTTACCTTCCAGCAAATTTAGTGTTATCTTTTTAATATTTAGATCTTTAATCCACTTGGATTTTAGTTTAGTGAATGGTGAAAGATAAGGATCTAGTTTTAATCTTTGGCAGGTTGAAACACAATTTATTAAAGAGGCTATCTTTCCTCTACTTGGGATGGTTGGCTCCTTTGTTATAGATGACATAGCTGAGTACATCTGGAGTTGTGTCCGTATCTTCCAGTCTATTCCACTCATCCTCAGGTCTTTTTCTTTGCCAATGCCGTGCTGTTTTATCACAGTGGCTTTGTAGTATAGTTTCAAGTTGGAGATTGTGATATCCCCTGTAATGTCTCTGTTGTCTAGAATTGCTTTTGCTATTCTCTGTCTCTTCTGGTTCCAGATGAATTTTTGGATTATTTTCTCTGGTTCCGTGAAATATACTGTTGGAATTTCAGTCGGAATTGCATTGAATCTGTATAGCAATTTTGGTAGTATGACCATTTTCACTATGTTGATTCTTCTTTCCCAAGAGCAGGGCATATCTTTCCATTATATTACATCTTCTTCAATCTCTATTTTCAGAGTGCTGTAGTTTTCAGTGTAGAGGACTTCCCCTTCATTGGTTACATTGATTTCTAGATATTTCATTTTTTTTGGATGCTATTGTGAAAGGAATTGTTGCCCTAGTTTCTCTCTCAGTGAGCCTGTTATTTGTGTACAAGAAGGCTATTGATTTTTGAGTGTTGATCTCATATCCAGCTACTCTGATGAAAGTTTGGGGTCTTCTATGTAAAGCATCATATCATCAGCAAAAAATGACAGTTTAACTTCTTCCTTTCCTATCTTTATTACTTTAATTTCTTTCTCTTGTCTAATTGCTAGTTTTTCCAGAACTATATTGAACAGGAGTGGTAATAGTGGCCACTCTTGTCTTGTTCCTGATTTTAATGTGAAGGTTTTCAGTTTTGGGCCATTTTAACATGTTGTTGACTGTTGGTTTTTCATACAATGCCTTTATCAAATTGAGATAAAGACCATCTATTCCAATATTCTGCTTGTTTTTTTTAATCATGAATCAGTGTTGAATTTTTTTGAATGCTTTTCCTACATCTGTTGAGATGATCATATGGTTTTTGTCTTTCAC